TCAGCAGGACCCACCACCCATCGTGGACAGAAGGTCTGCAGTGACACTACCTCAGAGTCTCAAATTCTTTGCCCCAGTCACTATCATTTACTAGTCTCCCTGAGGTGGTGGTGAAAACACACTGAATCTCTACGCAAACACTAGTTTTTAATCAAAATGTGTCCTGCTTGCTGAGGATTTTAGGTTAAAGGGCAGCTGGTATCTGACCACAAACCCAGTTGTTATAGTCTCCTGAGTGTTAAACTGATTTTCAGAACCAGTATCAACTCTGGTAAAAGTGGTTCTGAACTATTTAGGAAGGGAACTGGCTTTTCCTTCTCTGGCACCAAACCTTTGCTCCTCTGCTAACCCCTCCAAATTTGACAGGGGACTTCATGCAAGTTTACAGACGCCCACCAACACATCCTAAGCATATACAAATACCAGTGATTACAAACACAAGTCACAAAATTTACATTTCTAAATTTTAACTAGTATGTTAATTCATCTGCTCTTCTAAGAAAAGCACAACAGGGCAAGAAGTTTCACTCTGTTTTCCTTTCCTTTTTTTCAATTCATAACTATTTTTCCCCTCCACAAAAACCTATTTTTTATTACTCTCACTTTCAACTCCTTCAACTTCTTTCAGTCTCCCTTGCCCCCCACCACTTTCTACTCTCTCCCTTTGCTTTCCTAGTCCTGATCGATCGCTGTTTGTTCCAGCATTTGGCTCACGCACAGAGGCACAACTCTGACAGCCCTGGAAGTCTATAAACAACATCATCAAATTTTCACATGCTAAAAAGAGATAGGCCAGCCTCCAGCTCATCTCAATGCTTCTAATTAGAAAGAGATCAGCACATGGTGCACAGGCAGCCTGTCACTATTTTCCCCCCTCTCTCTGGTAAGGCACAGGTCTATCTTCCTGGAGCTTATGTAAATACAGGAGGTATGTTTACCGGCTCTCCAGGGCAAGCTGAATTCAGAGAGCTGGGCTGTGCTTATCATCCTCTCATGGGAAAAAACCAAATAGAGATTCCAGCACCAATACCCTATCTTCACTCAAATCAGTTTCGAAATAAACAAATATAACCTGGTGAAAGGCACAGATACACTACAGCCTGCCTGCTTCAGAAACTCAAAGCTGGTAAGAACTCCAGGCTGACATACTGGTATTACTTAACGGCTGAAGTAAAAAACTCTGCTATTCAGACTTAAAATTTAATATAATCAATATTGAGCATGAGAAAGTAAACTGCATGCATGCACATGTAGTAACTCAAAAATGCTTAGTGACAGTTTTCAATGTCACAATTCTACTCATTGTAAAAGCAAAGAAAAAGAGAAATACGAGGGCCCGTCTTTTATGTTGTGTCACAGGGTTACATACAAGGGTCAACTCTTCACAGGCAGGAACGGGAATGACTTGCCACCTCGCTCGTGCCATGCAAGCACAACTTACTGTCCTTGGCTTTATGAAGTGCTCCCTCCATGCCACCTATTTAATTTGCTCTGTACAAGCGACTTAATTCCAAAATTAAGATTTACTTCATGCTTCAGAAAGAGGAACATCATCTTTGGCTACCTATCCTGGAGCAGTCTGGCAGGGCAATCATTATTACTGTTTCAGTAATGATGCTAGAGTTCATTCCCATCAAACAAATGGTAAATGAACCCTACATATTAGACAGTTACAACAAGTTCAAATTCTAATTATTTTCCTTCTTTACTTCCCAAAACTTTACACCAACTAGAACTGCAAAAGGGATCAAGAGCTCAACTGATTCCAAAACAAGAGAGTAAATTTTCAGGCATATTTTTCTCCTGGTAGAAATAAAACACTGGCCATATCCTTCTAATACATTAATAAATCTACCATAGTTTCTTTTCCACCTTCCCCAGTGGTCATAAGAATATCTATTGGAAACATCTGCTCCTTGACTTTGCTTCCAGTAATGGCAGCCAGCTATGTGACCTGATAGCAAATTCAAAGGAACTCACTCCTAACTCAGGGATATGGACAGTAGCCTCCTGGTCTTGTGTGTTGGCTATGAACAGCACTGCTTCCAGCTAGCAAATGTGGGGCTATTGTAAACGCTGTTTCACAGCAACTGATTCCTCTTTTACATGAGTGTGATAATGTATAATTTTACATTATTTCAGATAGCTCTATGTGTCAATAGTATACTAGGGGCAATATTAGAGTAAACCTGTTCCTTAAGTCACTCATTCTGTCCTCAAATATTCTTCTAGTTTTCTACAGAAATATGGGATAGTCATGAGGAAGCTCCGTGCTGTATTTTACTATAGATGTGATCAGACAGCGTGTTAAGTAATCTCATCTGGACTCCCTTTCCCACGAAAGGTTGGACCAGATGATGTTTTGCAGTCCCTTCCAACTTGGGTTGTTCCATGATTCTGTGAAAACACAGCTGTACAGATACAGCAAGTATATGAAGCAACGGAGAAGAGCTGAACTGAAGAGATTCTGGAAGACGACAAAAAGAAATGCTGAGGTAAAACTATTTAAACTATTAAAACTATTTGCTGAGAAACAAAACTATTTAAAACCAAAACGAGAGGACACTCTTCACTGTGAAAGAAGTAGTCACAGAATTGAAGAGAGAAGTAAGCAACTCTCCCATTTATACAGGCTGGTTAACTTAAAAGTCAAACAAAAGAAAAGAGCTGAACAGAAAAAGCGAGGTGAGTTTTGTTAAGGAACGAGCAGAGACATCTTCAGACAAAAATATTGATCGCTTTCCCTGAAATAAAGCAACACAGGCTTTAGAATCTGGTCAGTTTTTATTCAAATTAAGATGACTGCAGCAGAAAGTATTTTCAGCCTCTGTTGTCAGAGTAAGTACAAGCTGGGTTTTTCTTTTTCGACAGCCATTCACGGAACTGCAGCATACTCACTGACAGCTTACTACAAGCATGTTTGACAAGAAGTAGTAGTAAGCAGCCGAATACATGAGAGCAGACCATTTTCAGTTCTAATGAAAACTGATGACTAAGTTCTGAATCACCAGCCACAAAACCCTTGCATTGGCGAAAGGACACAGACTAATAAGAAGAAATTTAGTAATAACATTTGGTGGAAGATTAGTAAAAAGACAAAACCCAGTCATACACTCATTCACATTCTTTACTGAAACATTTTTTTCCCTGCATGATGTCATACGCAAATGCAAGGGCTTGCAATCCAATTTGTCTCTCCTACTTCAGATACTCTTGTGTCCTCCTGGTATGGATTGATCCCAAGTTCTAATTCCATTTCAATACTGACCTTTCTACCCACCTCTCCTGTAAAATCTCCCATCAAAAACAATTAAGCATTTTACTTTGGCTTCATTCCTTCCCCATCTACCCCAGTATTATTTCAGGGAGTTGCAACAAACTTCTGATAGTTACTCTGAAAACAGCAAGGAAATGAAAAGTACTAAGAAGATGTAAGTCACTTCTAGTAACGAAGTATTACCCAATTTCCGTCAGGCCTCTGAGAGACTCAGCCTGGACTTTTACCCACAAGGCACTCATCTTTGGATTGCAACTACGGCAAAATACTCTAGAGGTGGAAAGAGCTATTTTGGCATCCAATCTTATCTAGCTACAAGCACAGTTATATAGCAACTAATGTTTTGCCAGATCAAGTTATATCAAAAGTAACTAAGGTCTCCACCACTTAGCCTGGGATACTGTCACAATCTAAGCAGTTTCATTAACAGAAAACATTTCTTCATTGCATTTTCACCCAAAGGTCAGCCCAGTATTTTCTATTACTTTTACAAGTAAATTTAATCCACATTGCTTGCATCATTTCAGTATTTGTATGTGCTCAAGCAGTAGCATAGTTTGTTATAACAAAAATAATAATTTTAATGAAGACTGTCACAGACAGGATTTGAGAAGCAGGTACTGTAACAGGATTCAGAAGCCTTTAAGAAAGAGGAGAAAGGGAAATGCAGGTAAATAAACTGTGTCATCCACTGAAGGTTGGGGTTTTTTTGGTTTTGGGTTTTTTTTTTTGTTTGTTTGTTTTTTAAGTGACAGAGCAGAGCTTTCACGACTAGAAAGCTGACTAGGCCAGAGAAAGAAATAGTCTGTATCACTTCCATTTCACAAGATATAGCTCTCCTGGACTACAAAGGGTAGAACAGATTTTCCTGCTTCTATTTAATTCCTCATCTAGGTTCTTCTCACCTCCACCCCACAGCACCACTACTCACCAGACTTCATGTTCTTTGGGATACAAAATATGCATTTTCCACTACCCTGACCTGGTATTTCAGCCTGCTGTTTCACCGACCATGAATCTCACCTTGTTACACTTTCACCCACGTTTTCATCCTTCAAAAGTTCATAACTCACACCAACTTCACACTGGGAAATTTCTTTATTTCAAAAGGAGAGCTGTCCATGCATGCAGATAAATTCACATAGTTACCAATATACATACTCACACTTGTCACAACTCTGCCAAGAAGCACACATGGAAAATATGGTAGGATTACCTGTGAGATTAGCTGCCATCTCTTCAGCAGTCTGACACAGCCTCAGCCCTTGTTTTAGAGGACCTTCTGAGTCCACATACTGACGGCGCTTGAGGTAGCAGGACACTGCCATCTGAATCTGTTCTGTGCGTACGCGTTTCATGACCTCAAAAGAAAAGAAAGAGATGATGAGGCTCTTACCGCGTAGCTATACGCTAAGATCAACATACACTGTAGCTGTATTAAACTGATAGAAGACAAACAGCTCTGTATTTTCACTGCTGAAGTCAAACAACTTCATTACTGAAGTATGAAACAAAACCTTTAGGCGTTTGCCTCTCAGTACTAAGGCGTAACTAGACACTTTGAATCAGATCCCTGAAGATATTCTGCTGCCTAATTCTACTAATTTCACTGAGGAATCAAAAATACTTTTGAGGATTCTGGACTAAAACTGCAGTAGTGAGCTGAAGCATTTATTTTTGTAAAAATAACTCATAGAAAGGGAACGTTACTCCTCCTTGCTTTTTTACAGTAGCAGTTTGGGTATTCTTCAGTCATTTTCTGATTCCTCTGCCTGAACAACCAACAAAACAATTCCAGAAGAGTCAAGGGAATGAGAAATTAATATACAAAGAAGGAAATTTCAGAATCATAATGCTTTAAATAGCACACCTATTTGGGGAGTCCAAGAAGCGATAGCTTATCACCTGAACTTAAAGGTTAGAGCCAGACTTCTGGCACTTCAGTCAGGAAGTCCCCAGGAAAAAAACAGGGAAATTAAAACAAAAGCAGAGACTTCTGCCTTTTTCACCTGCCCCCATTTACCTAAACTTCCCTCCTACAAAAGTTAAAAAAAAAAAAAAAAAAAAAAAAAAAATCCTTTGAAGTTTCCTTTATATAAATTTTGAAAGCCATCCCCACAAACACCACTTTGTAGTATCTCAAAACCAAAAGGAGCCCGATGCTAGCTTTTAGCCTCTGCCTTGTAATAAAAGAACCTCAGTAGCATGAATGCAATAGGTCCCTGGCTATTTGAGAAGTCCCCGACTGTCACCAATCCATTGCAATAGCCATCGATTTTACACAGAAGTTTAGATAACCCAGAAGTCTTTAAATAAACCAGAACTAAGCAACAGTTTTATTCTACCAGAATAATAGGTAAAGCCTGCCTCAAGACAGTTCTATACCTTACAGCCCCACTGCCAATGACCTGCATACGTTTTACAAATGCACATGCTTTCTGGTCTGAGTAGCTAAATCTGATGAAACACAACTTCTCAGAGACACAGACAAGGATGCCCTCCACCCCTTGTAAGAACCGTATTTCTAACAAAATGACAGCTTTAAAAATATGATCATAAATGAGCCTTTTCTAATACCCATGCACACTTCAGTGCTTATCCCAGTTGTTAGAACAATAAGCCCTCTGTGAAGTCCCAAGCAGATGGGGATGCAAGGTTTCAGCAAAAGTTACTTTAAACAGATACGTGGAATTGCAAGCCCGTATGCTTTGGCGAAAACCTTAAAGAGATTTCCATTTGTTCTCACAGGTGAAATAACTGTTGAGGGCGGGGAAGGGGTATCAACAGGTGTGGAATTTTCAAAGCACTTCCAGATAGACCCATTAAAATTATGAGTTTCAACCACAATTTCTTCCATTCCAAAAGCAAACTTCCTTTTCACCTTCCTTGCAATTAAAGAAATTATATCTGAGACTTACGCTGTCTCAAATATAACACTTTTTTCTGCTGCACAAAACTGTAGGAAAGACAGAATTCTAATGAAGACCATGAAGAAGGGTGGACACAGGGATGGACCAGCATCTCAGCATTCTCCTAAAAAACACCCTTAATTAAGCTTCGCTATGTATTACGTTACCATTCTGCATTTCAACTAGCAGTATGGACTCCCGTACAAGCGACTTGCCCAGGTCCACCCTAATGCCTCTGCATGCAGTTGGCCATACAGCTTAGGCTTGGGTAGCAACGTAATTATATTTGAGATACTCTCAAAGATGATTATTTCAGGTCTAGAACCCATTTTGGAGAGTTTGCATCTAGATTGTTGTATTTGATTTATAATCCAAAAGAAACTCACTCCCAAAATGGCACGGACCAGACTCAACTAAATGTTTCTGAAGCCGTTTAGCCAGTCAAAATTATGCAAATCGGCCTCAGGTCTGTGGTTCAATTGCAGAGAGAGAGCATCTAGAAACATCCTTGCCCATACTTTTTTGCTTCAGTTACAGGATCAATTTGCCCTAGGTTAGATTTGGTGAGAAAATCCTTATTCATTATGGCACAGCATGCATGTACAGATAATTCCTCATAAACCCATAATGGATCAGAGAAACTGAAAACTGGTGTGTGAAAGATGTAGGACTCCAGAGTACCCTTTGAAATGACAGTGACAAACAAGAGGAGCACTGAGATCAGCCTTTTCAAGCTGCTGAACGAGCAATGACCAACAGAGAGAATGGTAAATTTTAAATGACAGGCAAAAAAAGCAGTAGGTTACCCAGTAGTCTCAAATTCTAACATCAGGATGGGACATTTTAGCAGCAAGAGAGAAGGGCCCGGGAAAGGAGCAGTCGCTGACAGCTGATTCAAATCCGAGCTTTTTCAGAGCTTTGGGGATAACAGGGAAGCCCCAGTTTCTTCAGCCAAGATTAGCTACGTGGCATTTGCAGCTGCTTTATGCAACCTGTACAGTTTCTTGCTCCCTTCACGTACCTTGTCTACTCCTCCCAGCAGCCACAGTAGTGGGTGTTCCAAGCAGAATCTTGTTACTCCCATGTGACAGAACAGGAACTACCTTACAGGAAATGCATCTTCACCAAGAAACATCCATGGGCATCAGACACACCATCACCCCTACTTTCATTTCAGGTCTTTGTTTCTTCATTCACTTTGCCCTCAGCTTACACTGAGGTTATGTCACTCTCAGCGTTACAAAAAGCAATGTCACAGGAGCAGGGAAAGCATTCATGAGAAGTGCAAGAAGAGCAAAACCAATGTTCCTACAAATATTCCTTATCAAGCCCTCAAAATTAGAGTATATCATAAAATAAACGTAAGGATGGCCTGCCAAAATGCCTTTAACTGGGTTCAAGTTGAGCCAGTTCACAACAGGTCAATGATGCAGAATTTAAAGGCAAAAAAGGACAAGCCTGCCATTTTAACTGCCAATCAATTTTAAGACTCTAGCTCTCATCACCGAAAATAATCTCTAAAATATGAAACAAACTGAACACATACAGCGTTCCCTGTCCATGCCTGCAGAAAGCTTAAAACAATTGTTCAGAAGTCCCAGCTGCCTCGTTCTCAAACAGCCAGAGAGAACAATAAATACTAATACCATTAACCATTTTTACTGATAAGCAAAATACGTAAGGAAAGAGAGAAGAAAGATCACGTCGGGAGTCTGCACAGCTACAATGCAGCGTCTTCTGCGGTGTCACAAATTGGAGCACAAAAAAAAAGAAAAGGATATTAGGTTAATTTTTTTTGAGGAACCAAAATGACTGAAGAAACCCAGTGGAGAGGCCGATCATACAAAACACATCACAAGTTCCTCTTTCCTAGAAAAGCTGGAAATTAGCTGTGTAGTAAGCATTGGGCCAAGGAAATTAATTTCCTGCCTATGCTACATCTCGGGTACAGGTTTAGGCAGACTCCACGGCCTTGAAATATTACCAGCACAGACCTATGAAAAAGAGCTTGAAAACTAGCGTTGGAAACACTGCTTTTAAACACTCTGCATTCCTGTCCTGACGCTGGGACAACAGTCTCTTTCTTCCAAAAGACTGAGGAAAGACCTGTGAGCATCAGAGAATAACCAAGGAGAAGCAATCTTAAAAAAAAAAGAACCAACAATAAAACAACCCACAAAAGCACATTCTGAATATTCTCTACTGACAACTGTGTCTCAGGCCTCAGTTGCGGACAGAGAAGTACCATCTTTTATCTCTTATCGCTACAGGTGAAATTTGGAGTCTACCAACAATACTAAATCACCTAAGTTTTAATTTTGTGACATTAAGTTAATCTAAGACTTACAAAATTTCAGAATAAGCAAGATAAGGATAAACGGCTACGAAGATCAGAACCTAGAGCAGCCGAGGGATTTCACACACGCAGCGGCTGCAACTCAGAAAAACGGGCAAGTAAACACGACAAGTTGACATGGAGACTCGGCGTGGTGGCTGTGCAAGATCGGAGAAGCGCTGCAGGTAGCAGGACCTACGGAGAAGGCGTTTGCCTGAGCGGCGAGGCAGAGAGGAACCAGCTGTGATTTTAGCAGAGCCTGTAGCCATTTGCATTGGACCTAGATTTGGCTCACCGTCCACGGAGGAAGCTTTGCCAATTCCACATTGGTTTTTCCCCCCCCATCCCCCCGAGAAGAGAGCTCAAGGGCCGCTTCAC